GAGTGTAAGTGCGAAAAGTTTTGTTTTGTTTTTAAAGGAGCAAGTACTTAAGAACATCTACCTACTCAAAAAGGAATTAGACTGTGCAAATGTCCTTTAGACAATGATATCCCACTATTGAGGAGTAGGTAGCATCGTCGTTGGGATTTTCAGGTCAATTCGATTTAAGGGACGTGTGGCCACTAAAGCAATGTTAGGACGCCTTAGCGGTAACCATAATGTCTTAGATCATTTTATCCGAGGCAACCGTTTCGAGGCAACTTATGATCTTTGGACAAAAGGGCGACCTCTAAAACATCCTATACTCAATGACCACGTTCTAAGCAACCAAGTGAGGCGTACCCTAAGAGTGACATGTGCGAGTGTGTCAGTTTTCAATTTATATTATCTTTACATGTCATGGTGAGCTACTGTTGATTTTAAGTCAAGATAGATCTTGTCATGCAATCCTAGTTAGCATACATCTAAACAGTTAATATATGTACAGGAATTTAAAGTGCAGGAATTGTAAATCCTACGCTATTACAAGGCTTCGGGGAGGGGGATTATTTACATGTCCAAAATTGGGGGAATAAAGCAGTAAAGTGTAAAAGTCTTAGTTAAGCTATTACAAACCAGTAGGCAGTTACAATAAAATAAACGCGCGCGAATCTGAAAATAACTTCTAAAAATTCTAAGAATAAAATCTTTTTGTTGTTTTATTTTATTTTGGGAAAATGATCTAAATCTACTTAATTTTAGTTTTGAGAAAATGTTAAGATAATTAAAAGGTTAATTAACAAAGTTAATTTAATAGGAAAAAAAATTAGCCTAATGTTTTTTGTGGTTTTTATTTTAATTTATTTTATGTTGATTAAAAAAAAGAAATAAAATAGTCAAAATAAAGATGAAATCGAAGGAACAGGCAATAAATAAAAAAAGCATAATTTTGGAGGCTGGATCGAAAGAGGTGTGGGCTGTCTTTCGACCCAGTGAAGAGGCTTGATCGAAGGTGCATGAGGGGATGCACTTTGGGGGTGTTCGATCTGGATATGTCATCCTTCAATCTGGAAATCCTGGATCCAGTTCGAAGCTAAGCTGCTAAGCTTCGAAACTCTGAACAGGATTCTGAGAAGATATTTCCTGCAAAACGAAACAAATGTTAAAGGTCCAGGGGGGATTTTACCCCCCTGATTCGAATCTGCTCCCTAATTCGAATCCTTCCTCAATTTGAATCTGCTGAATCTGGGCCTGGATTTGTTTTTACCTTAGATTCGAAGGAGACACTTAGACCGTGCCCCGACAATGGCACGATCTCATCTTTGCGCTTCAGCTTACATGCAACAGAATCAGTAATAACAAGAATACCTATGCAATGTGTATTTAAATGAAGGTGCAATTTTGGTTTTGCCAACCCTTACCAATATGGCTTCGGGTGTGGAGATGTTTGCAGAATGGCTGCTTTGGCTTGGATTACTTCTGAAAATGCCGATGACCTTTGGCAGCGTATCTCCAAATCCTCCCTGTTTCTCCTTTTTCGTTCTGCTCTGTTTTGTTTCTGCAGAGTTTTCTTTTCTTTACTATAATTTTCGTAATGTTTTTTGTTCGCCCTTTGCACTGTATGCTGGCCCTTGTATTTATAGGGGTGTGAGGATGCATGAAAATTGCAAGGGACAGCCATTTAACCAGGCCATTAAAGCCACGAGACAAGAATCAGACACATTAAAATATTTCCTTTTTTGAAATATTCATGTCTCTTTGGAATCTTGAATGAACCTGGACATTTTTTATTTTCGAATGCCTTCAGGCCATGCTCTTCGATTGGTCTTGAGTTGCCTCCTTCGAATGGGACTCCTTCTGCTTCGACTGCTTAATTTGAAAAGAGTCACTATGGTCGAATCAGCTCTTGTGGAGTTAGGAACAGAAAAGGCAAGAATCTGGCCTTTAATTCAGGAATTAAATCCACAATCAACATTTAATTATTTCTATATTTGCAAGGGACACATGCCATTTTCTCATGTTCAGTGTACCTGGACATGTTTTTTGAGTGCCCTCTTGATGGCTTCTTTCAAATGGCCTGGAAGGAGTTCTTCAAATGGCCCTGGTCCAAATATCAATCGAAGGGTACTAATTAAAATTCCAATCGAAAGGCTTTGTTAACAGGCCAATCGAAAGGTGATGTTCATGCTAATCGAAGGATATGGTTAACATGCTTGTCGAAGCTGCCTTGACACAATGCTAAATCGAAGGATCCCTTGGCATGCCATTTGAAAGGCTTGGCCCAGGGTGCCAAACGAAAAGGTCTTCAGAATTCTAATCGAAGGGCTTTGACATAATGCCAATCGAAGTGCTTGTCCATAATGCCAATCGAAAGGCTCCTTCAGAATACCAATCGAAGGGTCTTTCAGAATGCCAATCGAAGGCCTTGACATAATGCCAATCGAAGTGCTTGTCCATAATGCCAATCGAAATGCTCATTCAGAATACCAATCGAAGGGTCTTTCAGAATGCCTATCGAAGTGCTTGTCCATAATTCCAATCGAAATGCTCCTTCAGAATACCAATCGAAGGGTCTTTCAGAATGCCAATCGAAAGGTACTTAAAGCACCACTCAAAAATTTTCTTTTTCCTTAGGCAAGGGTTTGTGATCAACCATGCAGGGGAAGACTTTGGAAAACATGAGAGGGCAAATTTTAGGGTACAACACTTATTCATATGCATTCATGCATAAGCATCACATTTAGTACATTTTCATGCATAAAACTTACATGTTTTCAAAAAATCATTATCCAGTTAAACCATTAGTAAGAAAGCACCGCCTCTACGACCTCCATATTAAACCATAGCTCATCAAAAGAAAGTAATGGAGAAGATCGAGGAAAATCAAGCAGTTTTCCAAGAGATTTAGAGCAAGTGAAGAGCAACATTGACTCGATGAAAGGAGACATGAGTCAAGTTCTGTTAGCCTTGAAGAACATCATCGAAAGGCAATATTAGATTCCTAGGGCAGCCTTTAAAGAAGTAGCCCAGACTATTGGTGCATCGAGCGGTCACCAACCAAGAAGAGAACCAGAGTCAGGACCTCTAAAGTCAACTGTGGCTCAGCAATAAGTCAAGCAAGATGATACTAAAGGTTTTATCCCACCTCCACCGAAGGGAGGGGAATCTCATACCTTGCAAATTCCAGTCAACAATCCACATGACATGGATAATTATATAGACATGCGGTATGGAGATCATGACTTAGAAGATGCCAACCAGGTGCCTTAAAGGAGTGCCCGTACTAATGTTGCTTAAAATCTCGTAGTGCTTACTCAGTTTAAAGCTCTTGAAGAAAGGTTGAAGGCTATGGAGGGTTACGATGCTTTCGACGTCGATGCCCTCGAAATGAGTCTAGTTCTGGATGTAGTGATCCCCCTAAAATTCAAAGTACCTGACTTTGGAAAAATATAAGGGGCTCACATGCCCAAGGAATCATTTATGCATGTACTGCCAGAAAATGCATGCATATGCTCAAGATCAGAAGCTGATGATCTATTGTTTCCAAGAGAGTTTGAGTGGGACATCTCTAGATTTGTATATGCAATTGGAGCGAGTTCATATGTAAACATGGGCAGATCTTGCCAATGCTTTCTTAAGACAATATAAATACAACTTGGGCATGACTCCTAACAGTATGCAACTCAAGAACTTATCTCAAAAGAAAGATGAGTTCTTCAAAGAGTATGCTCAACGATGGAGATAAATGACAGCCCGTGTACAACCACCACTCCTGGAGATAGAATTGGTTGATATGTTCATGGATACTCTGCAAGGCCTATACTATGATAAAATGGTAGGAAGCTGTCATACCCCAAATTTGACCGCTCCATTTTTTTAAATATTTCTAAATTCGGTTTTATAAATTTTTAGGTTTTATTAACAGTTGGTTCAGATATTAATTCATGTTGCTTATTTAAAGATATAATAGTTTATTTTAAATTATTCATATTTCTTAAAATAGCAAATATTTGTTCGTCTTCGTATACCTTCAATTGACATTTCATTTCAAATGAACAACATAGTATAATTGGTAAGGAACGAAGCTTGCAAGTATGAGATCGTGAGTTTGAATCTCCTGTGTCGCATTTTAAACATTTTCTCTACTTTTTTATACTAATTTTTTCCCTTTTACTTTTTGGCCGATGATTTAATTTGATGACCCTCTCCTATATTTTCGATTTTGAAATTCTTACTTGTTTATTTTTTAAAAACCATATAATAATTTCTGATGGTTATTTTTTTTTCTTAAAAATTCATTTTAGTTTATATTTACAATTCACAACAAATTGTTTTCAAAGAAGTTCATCTGTTAATTCGTTTTCGACTAGGGGTGAATCCCTTATAGTTCTTCTTTTAAAATGATTCATTATGTTATTTGTTGTTAACAAATAGTACATAACCTTTTTTTTTCTATTCACTAACTGCTAGCCACCAACCTCACACTTTCAATTTTTTTACACAGAAACAATTGTTTACACATCTTGGCCACCAATTTCAAACTCACTTTCCCAAGTGCTAACACCCAATTTTACAAACTATATATTTTTTATTCTCAAACCTGCAAAAACATGAGTCAAACCTGTTTGTTTTATTTTCAAACCAATATAAATATCATTTCTTTCACGGTTACATGTTTACATGAAAACCGTTATAAATTTGTAACAAGTCTAAACATCACAAACCAGAATCCTGTCACAAATCACATACAGATTAACACTAACAGGAACTTGTGTCAAAACCTTCAAACCCAAGAACATTAATTCAATAAAACTACACTGTCGGTTATAATCCTCCTGCAAAACCTCATAATCAAAATTAAGCTTTATGAACATCATCACTTTACTTTTGTTTGCTTGTTTTGTTTGGTGTGTCTTGATTTACAGACAAAGAGAAAAGAAGGAGAAAAGTAGAAGAATTGAAAGGAGTATTGTTTTGATGTCGTCGCCGTCCAACATTCCCAATCGGCGCCTGGTGCGGTCATGATTTCGACATGTATCATTCCATCTCTACCGAGAGCCACCGCAAGACCCAGATCCTCTGTTGCACCAGTCCGTCCAGACGCGACCCTTCATCTCACCGGCAATCGAACACCACTCCTCCGCCAGCCATTAGTCCCCGCCAAGCCTTCAGGCGACCGCAATCTCTGCGGAATCGCACCCCTGCAGCCTTCCATTCACGCCCCTAACTCCAGCCGGCGCACTGCTCTAACCTCTCCAGCCGTCCAGCAACCCAGATCGCAATCCACGAAACCACCGCTCATCACCTGCGGCAAAACCGCAACAACAACAACCACCTCTACCTCCATTCAGATCCACGTGCGATCTCCTCCCTTTGGACGACTCTCCTCCTCGAGCCTACATCCGTCATTCGTGCAGCCCCCTCCGTTCCGTTTCCCGTGCGCCGTCAACTCACCGACGATCGCTCCGACGACCCCCAGCTACCTCGTCGAGATCCCTCCGTTCATCCGCGGACAGCGTCCCTGACGACCAGGGAAGAAGTTGTTGGGTTAAAACAGGAATTGGAAGAAGAGAAATAGAAAGCGAAGTGAGAGACATGCATGAATAAGGAGGAAGAGGTAAATGTGTCTCTTGTTTTTTCAGTTAATATAGTCTTACTGATACTTTTACTTTATTTTTATATTATTTCGTTACCACATATCTCTCTCTTATTTAAGTTGTATTTTACTTTTTTCTGTTGATCTTCTTATAGTACCAAGGGTTGCCGTTCCAGTACGTGATGTTCTTCTTATTTTTATTTATTTTATTTGTTATTATTTAATATGCAGAAATTAGGGTTTATTTTAAGTTGGATATTTTGGGTTAATGTTTGTAATTTCTTATTTGTCTATAGTTTTGCTAATCTTACACCACCCGGCCTGTTATTAAACACCCTTTAAATCTTAGTTATTTAAACTTCGTTGTTAACTTAATTAATTTGTTTTCTGTTGATTATTATAAAAAAATATATAAAAAACATGCTTTGTTAGTTTTTAGATTAATTAATTTAATATTTTTACAAAGGTATTACAACTCGCGTAACTCTAAATACTCCATTCGCGAGTAACACGTGACTAATATCTGGTCATGTGATGAGGAAGGATATATCAGACTCCCTTCGCATCCTTCATGACGAGTAACACATGTCTAATATCTGGCCACGTGATGAATAGACTATATCAGACTCCCCCGCTCTGTGTCCTACCATATTTCAATTAATCAATTAATTTAAAACAACTAAACAACATCAAATCATTTTTTACTAACATAATCAAAATAAAGATATTTTTGAAAAAGGATTAAGGAGAGTTACTTTCAAAATTAACTGCGAATTGCGTCTACGATCACTCTTTTATAAAACTTATACAAGTTTCAAGGATAAATTCGAAAGCAATTGTACGCAATCCTATAAGAAACATCAACCAACACTACAAACTACGAATTTAGATTTTGATTCCTCATAAGAGGATACGCAGGAATACGACTAAAATCGTGGCGAGCTCCCCTAATAAAAATTAAAACCCCGTTTCCTAAGCTGCAATTCTAAACCCTAGTATCCTTGTGAATGAGTTGGATGAGGGGTGTCTAACAGTTTCCCTTCGACTAAGAACGAGTCCAACAACTTAGAATCTCTGACCAAATTAGGGTTATCCTTTATATTCCCTTCTCAAAGATAAAAATTAAGAGTGCCGACTCTCATTTTAAAACCAGTTACAACAGAAGCGTCTCTTCCAAATTTTCTGATTTGGGGACTATTGGTGAAAGAATTGAAGCGGGTATAAAAAGTGTCAAGATAAAAGAGGCATCATCCAATACTCCTTACAATTTGAAGAAGCATGTTCCTAACTTATCGAAGAAGAAGGATGGAGAAATTAATGTTGTCGCATCGCATCCAAGGACACAACAACCATTGGTAATTCCACGAGAACAACAACAATATAACAACTTTGAAAGGCCTACGAGAAGATTTGATGCTCTCCCCATGCCTCACAGTCAATTACTGTAGCACTTACTCAAAGCATCTTTGGTGGAGATGAAGCCACTAGCCCTTATGTGATACAGTGGGAGAACTGACTTGAGGTTTTTGCGTTTTATCGCAAATATTGCGGTTAACAAGAGTCGCCACTGACTTTTCTTTTATCCAATAAAGAAAGGTGAAAAAGCACAGGAAAGACCTTTTGAGATGTTTTCTTGAGTTCGGGGGGTAGATTATGAAAAGGGAAGGTATTAGCACCCTTTCATCCATGGTTTTTGCGTTTTATCGCAAATGTTGCGGTTAAGAAGACTTTTCATCCATGGGCTCTTAGTTACTTGCTATATCACTTGCTTTTATTGTTTGAAAATGTGTTTGGTGTGGTTTTGAAAGTATTTTGTAAAAGAGGTCATTCGTTTAGGCAATCTTTGTAATGATTCTCGTTCGTAAGAATGTATACAAAGATGTTTATCTTTTTGAAAATGTTTTCAATGTTTGTAAAATGTTTGGAAATGTGTGTGTTTGTTTTGAAAATAGCAAGATAATTGTTTGGGAATACAGCAAGTAACTAGAAGTAATCTACCTACTCAAATGTCTTTCTTGTGCATTTTCTATTCCTTTGACATTGTTGTCTTACCATTAATTTGGTAAGCAACCCTATCTTTGGATGTAAACGGGACGGGCGTGGGTCATCGTATAACTATGATTAGCAATATTGCAAAGTATCTTAGCATTTTGAGGGACCAAGATCATTTTGAAAGGAAACTTTGATAGCGTCATCGAGGGACTATGATCTTGTATTTTTTCGATTTGTTTATGCTAAGACACCCCACATGCATAACATGACCATTTTTTAGGCAACACGTGAGATTACCCTAAGGGTGCATGTGTGCAAAGTGTGTTTGATTGCATGTATTTAGTCTTTGATTTTTGGTGGTCTACTTGTTGGTTTTATCTTTCCAGACACGCCTAATTACTAGCATTTACATTTGAAAGCGATAAATTGCAGAAATGTAAAGTCATACGCTATTACAATATTTAGGGGATGGGGATACAAATTTATGAATGGGGGTTGTAAGTAAAAAATAAGTCCTAAATTACTATTACAACCATATTGAAATGCATAAAAATATACAAGAAAATGTCAAATTGACTAGTTTAGAAAATGTTTTTGTCTTAAGGAAATAAAATAAAAGAATTTTTTTTTATGTTTTTTATTTTAATAATAAAAAAGATGAAAAGGAAAATAAATGCAAAAATAGAGAAGGCGTGTTGACTCTGAGGTCCTGCAAAAAACGTCAGAGGGAAAGGGAACAGAGGTTCTGGATGGATACACTCTGAATTCCTACAAAAATGTTAGAGGGAAAACACAAAGGTTTTGGGTGGTGTCCAACCAGTGAACCAAAAGTCAGAAGTTCTGTATTACATTGAAACAGTGAGCAAGCGTCAGCAGTTCAGTGTATTTGACATGTAAGGAGAACTCAGAAGTTCTGTGTTGTGTTAAGATTGTGAGTGAACATCAGAAGTTCAATATTATGCTGAGCCAGTGGGTGAACATCAGAAGTTCAGTGTGTGTTAACAGTGAAAAAAGTCATGGAAGTTCTGTGTGTTAAAACAGTGAAGAGAACTCAGAAGTTCTGCGTGCTTAAACAGTGAGAAAATCCTAGAAGTTTTGTGTGTTAAAATGATGAGTGAAAAACAGAATTTCTGTGTTACATTTCAGTTCTTAATCGGCACAACAACAATTCGTTCAGTTCAGCAAATCAGAATAATCATAGCACAATAAATCCAGAAATTCCAATCCTAAGTTTGAGCCTAGCATTATTCTAGAAGTTATGATCCATAGTTTTTCTATTCATACAATGATATGTACAATATTAATACTATGATATTTACATGGTAATGATGTTCAGAATGAAAAGCAAGTAAAGTCAGAAAGACTTACCTGGAGCGTACTTGGAGCTTTGAGTGGCTGCCTTTGGAAGTTCTGAGTCAGCAAGAGAGACAGAAGAGTGGTTGTGTCCTTTTGTTCGAAGGAAAGAACAAAGGTTTGTTTTTATGTATGAGAAATCTGGATTTTTATAAAGGTTTCACAATTTCCTTTTCTCTCTTTTGGCCAATCTCTCTCTTCAAAAGCCAGCCCCTTGAACGTGTGATGGAGCCAAGTATTTATAGATGAATTTGTTGTAACTTTGGGGGGAAAACAAATAGGATTTTAACCTGTTTTAGCATCCTCTTCCTTTGCTTTTTCATCACAGTTTTTGTATGCTAGTTTGGTGTAATCATGAGATGCAGGCGTAGGCTGAGCCAGCCGTTGGTCATAGGTCTGCAGTAAGTTGTATAAGCAAGGTTTTGGGATTTGGTCAAGTTCTGACCAGAGCTTTGAAAAATAGCCTTCATGTGCTGAAGCGCTGCCTTGTCTTTGAAACAAGCATGGTGGCTGTCAGCAGGAATTAAGGAAAAGCAAAAGCAAAGTTGCTATCCCAAGACAATAGAGGTACACGTGGTGAAGATCCTTTGGATAAAGACTCAAAAGGTGGTTATGAGCATTAAATGAGCATTAAATGACGATGAGACTTATCACAACCATAAATCCTGCAACATGAATGTTGTACCCCAAAATTTGCCCTTCTATATTCTTCAAGGTTTGTCAAGGATCATCTTCAAATGGTTCAAGACTACTCAAGGATTGCACAGTCCAAATGCCTCCTAAGCCAGTCAAAATTAGGGTTTTGGTTCCCTCAAGGAATGTGAGGTTCTCAATGGTTCAAACAAGTCTCATAGGCCTATATACATTCTCAAGCACCTACATGCCAAGTTTCAAGACTCACAATGCCAGTTTGCACAGTCAAAAGCCCTATTTGATCCACAGTCAACTGTAAGGGCAAAATGGTCATTTTGCAGTCAAAAGTCATAATTTTTGGTCAACATCTTATTTTGAGTCCACAATCATCATTTGATCAAGTCTTGATCATGATTCCACAAGCATGGCTCAAAAATCATCAAAGATGCAAAAGTTACTATTTTTGGACAGTAGAAAAGTCAACTGTATCTTGACCAAGGCATAACTTTTTCATGATTCATCAGAAAAATCCCATCCAATGCTCATTTTGAAGGGGATGACATTTCCTACAATCCATCTTCACACTCCAAGTCCAAGAAATGCTCTCACAAAAAGTTATCAATTTCTACATTATAGGTCAATTTCAAAAGTCAACAAAAATGCACTTTAAGTCAAAGACCATAACTTGAGATTTGTAAATCCAAATGACATGGGACCAAAGGCATTGGTTAGAGGACTTCAAGACCTTTCCAAAATGTCCAAGAACATGTCCATATGATCAAAATTGAGCAAGATATGCATTGGAGAAGTTGGGAAATTTTTGTGAATTTGGAAAAGTCAACTTTGCTCAAAACACTTTGTTTTTGCTAATGGGCCTCAAATTCCTTCTTGAAACTTTATTCAAAGCTTATGCACGACCCATTGATATTATTTGAATTTATTTTCTTATTT